CTCCGACCCCAGGGACGGGAACCATCCAGCGGCTGGGAATCACCAGAGCTGCTGTTTCCATTGCTAATTAGCCTGGGCTGTTTGCAAATCGGGTGATCTGGGGTTGACGGGATGGGATGGAGCCATTTCAAAAGGAGGAGGCAGAGGCATAGCTGGCTTTGACCCCTTCCAAAGGGGAAGCGGGGACGGGACATCACAGGGACCAGATGCTGCTGGGACTGGACACTGCAGAGATTCGTCACTGCAGGGACGGGACACCTTGGGGACAGGATGCTGCAGAGATCGGACACTGCAGGGGCCAGACACCTAAGCTCCTACTGGGACCCATTTCTCCAGGCCCTGGATGTCCCTGCTACCCGCTCTGCCCTGTCCACATGCTGCTGGGTGATATGTCCCCTCCTCCCCAGCACCTGCTCGTTGCGCTCTTCTCCCATTTCACAGCCGTGCCCGGTGCAGATGGTGCCAGAGAAGCTGCATTGGGACCCCCACGGCCAGCTCCACGGCAAACGGCTGCAGCCCCCAGCGCAACCACTATCCCAGCACAAGCCCATCGGCCACGCCAGGACAGTACCTCCTGCCTTGACGGAGCCACAGTGCCCCACAGCCATGGGGAACCGGAGATGCCTGGCTCCTTCCCGGGCCCCACATGAATTCAGACCTCAAGCCAAGGATGCCACGTCTCGTGCCAGCCCTGAGCTGCAGCAAGCATAGCAGCTGGTCACGCATCTGCCTCCCCTTTGCATTGCTTTGCTGCCCGGCCCCAGGCAATTCCTGACCCAACGTCACATAGACTTCAGCCCTGACTTGGTCACCCCCTTTCTGGCCCTCCAGTGCAAGGGCCGGCTGCAGGGCCAGGAGCTGTTGCGCACATCAGCGGCAAGAGCTGATCCCCAGGGCTGGGACAGGGCCAGAGATTGCAAAACGCTGCTCTGGGGCTGGGTCCAGGCACAGGCCAGCTGGGAGCAAGCCCCCAGCCGGGTTCGGGCTCTGGAGCCGAGGCGTTCGCTCTAATCCGGTGCGGCAACACCCCTCCCTCGCCCCTGTGCACACGCAG